ATTTGTCTATTATTTGAATTATATTAGAACAATAATTCCTTAACCCCAATTTAATAAGATTATTATTATTATTATTATTATTATTATTATTATTATTATTATTATTAATATTATTATTATTATTATTATTAGATCTGTCCATTTTGTTAGGATCAGGACTTTAATTAATAAAATTTGAGAGAGGCGCAGCTTCATCCCATCGGCTAACGAAGATTCGGTCCGGTTAGAAAACTCGAAAGAAGAGCCGATCCTCATTCTCCTGCGACATCTATGCCAATAATTGAATAGTGTAAGGAGAAGCAATCGAAGGCTATAAATAAAGTTCGGTCGAAGATCTTCAGCGAACCTCCTCACCGCCATTTATCACTTTCATCACTGACCACGGAATTTCACCACGAATCACCACCCACCCTTGTTCGGCGTTCGTAGCTTATCTCCAGGCAGCAACTGTTAATTGGCAGTTTGGCACACGTATTTTTCACTTTTCCCTCCATTAATTTGTTATTGCCATTTTGTAAAAGATTTTGTTTAGTTTATTTCGAAAGCTTTCAGCGACAGCAATTATTCTTGGCTAAGCACTCACCTGGTTCTACTTCTTTTATTTCAAACTTCAATTCATTTTGTTAATTTCCATATTTTAGTCGGTAGTTTTAATGCTTTATTTTTATTGTTAAATTGGTAAGCTTTATTTATTTGATTTATTACTTTTGCTTTTAATTGCTAAGCATTATTTTATTTATTGGAGATTATTCTCAATTAAATCTTCATATTCAAGTATGTGATATGTGTACTGTGTTTCAATTCATACAGCTTAGTTATTATTCTAATCACCTTGCTTAGTGCCTAAAGATTAATTGCAAAGCTTAATCACAGTGTTTAGTGCTCAATTATAGTTTTAAATGATTTCTAATTTATTTGCTTTTATCTTGATCTATGTTTAGCTTGCAGTTTTAATTGCCAATTAAGTTCTTTTATTCTTGTTAGCTTGCAGTTCTAATTACCACTTTGCGATTTAATGATTGTAAATGTCATACTAAGGCCATGCTAGTTTAATTTCTTTGGGAACATGAACTATACACCCGGAATATTTTGTATTGATTAGAGTTTTAATTTTTTCAATTGAATTAAGTTTTATCCTTTTATTAAATTGCATTGTTACAATTCTTTGTGGGTTCGACCCTTGCTTTTGTACCGTATTACTACAGTGACTCATGCACTTGCGAGGACATATTAAAATTGTCCAACAATTTTTGGCGCCGTTGCCGGGGATGACGCTAATCCGGGGGGAGAGGCATGTTAGAAAAAGTACAAAGTTCTCACCTAACACCTTGTTCTCACTTGATTAGAAATATATATATATATATATATATATATATATATATATATATATATATATATATATATATATATATACTCTGGTGCAAATAGAGCGCCCAGGTGCGAATATGCGAATGCCTGATATCCGTCCACATGTCCAGATCTAATGGATGAGAAACACTGATTTTTTTTTAAAAAATGCGGCGACATTTTCGTAAATAATTGAGCATCGAAGTTCAAGTCAAATGTATTACAAGTGCATGTAAAATGTATTATAGGTGCAAGTAAAATTTACACTGAGCATCAATACTAAGTGCACCTATAGTTATAAGTAGTTGCACCTAGGTGCATGAATGTTTGCGGGTGGTTTCACGGGTACTACTATCCGCTGAACTCACCGCAAGAACAAAAACGATGTCAAACAGAACGAACTCAGATCAATGAATGCTAACAAGGCAAAATTACATGCACTTGTAGGCGAAAGTTGGTGCACCCGATCAATGAATGCAGGCAAAAACTACATGCACTTGCAGGCGAAATTAGGTGCACTTGTAGGTGAAAGTAGGTACACCCGATCAATGAATCCTGACACGTGGGGCGCGCTGATTGGTTCGTATTTTTCTCCTGGGCACCTATTCGCACCTGAACGCGACCCTTATATATATATAAAGATTTTTTAAAAGAAAATTCCTTTAAAATTAAAGCGAATCTAAAATAACTTCCAAAAAAAAAAATTGTTATATTTCTGGAGTAACACCTTACATGTTTACTAATTTTATTTTTTTTAATAAACTTATTCTCTGCAAACACATTCTTTGAAATTAATTTTCTAAAAATTTAATTGATAGAAAATACCAAATAATATTTAATGATTTCATAGTCGAAATGGCAGGGCCGAATTATATAATTGACACCACTCAAATTTTTTTAATTATCAAAGAAACAATCATTATTGTGTGGACCATGGTCCACACAAGTTGTATGGACCATATTTTGTCTACTGTAAAATAATGTACATTCAGTACAAAAATAATGTATATTCAATACAAAAATAATATACATTGTATTCAGGGGATGTACATTATTTTTGTTCTGAGTATACATTATATTATATGATGTACATTCAGTACAAAAAATAATGTACATTTAATATATTAAAAATGTACTTTTTGTTATGGTCCACGTAACATTGTGTGGACCATGGTCCACATAATAATTTGCCTCAAACAAATGGTCAAAGCAACCTAAAATCATTTGTAATCTTTAATTGCATTGGTCTATAAAATGTTAGCGTGGTTGGCGTGAGTATTATTATATGTACGATTCCTTATTGCATGTTCTATTATGGATAGACAATATTAGAATTAGAATAAATTAAAATGCTGGATCTCTGATCTGTCACCATTACCAACTTGCCAATTATTTGTACACTGATATAAATATTTAATTGAGAAAATGATAATTTTGACCCTTAAATAGGGCTATAGTCTTCTTTTACCCTCAATAATAACATGCATACCTTAGGTTGATGAAGATGGAGATGGAGTTATTAGTGAATTGGGTTAGGGTAGTGTTAGATAAAAACAATAATAATATATACTTTAAATATCTATATATAAAACAATATATATATATGATAGGATTAAAAGAGTATAAATAACACTGGATAACACTTCAAGACGTGAAATAGGTTCAATTTTCTAAAAGTTTCTTATCAATCCTATACTAAAGCAAGAGGATAACCAATAAGAACTTTTGCGATACAATTATTAAGACTCTAGGAGTCATGATCGATGTATAACTCTTTAGTCTTCCGTTATTTTAGTCTTTTATATATATTTATGTACCGTGACATTATTGATTATTATTTTGTGATTACTTCTTATTTTTCTCCTACGAAGTTGTTCTGATCCAATTTCATATATATATATATATATATATATATATATATATATATATATATATATATATATATATATAAGGGTTCAGGTGTGGGGAAGGGTTCCCGTGCGTTTGTGTGAAAGACGCACCTTAAGCATTAAAATGACGCACCTTAAGTATATAAAGCACCCACCTTAAGCGCACAAACAAAACACTTTAAGAACACAAACCACACACCTTAAAAACAGAAACCATGCACCTTAAGCACACAACAAAGCACCTTAAGAACACAAACCACGCACCTACGGTTTTAAAATAGCTCACCTTAAGTTTTACAAAACTGACGCACCTTAAGCATACAAATCACGCACCTTAAGAAGGAAAAACAACGCACTTTAAAAAGGAAACTCACGCACCTTAAGTTTCAACAGCTACTTACATTAAGCACAAAACTCACGCAACTAAAGCACAAATCTCACGCACCTTAAGCACAAAACACATGCACCTTAAGCACAAAATCCACGCACGTTAAGCACAAAATTCACCCACATTAAGTTTCAACAACTACTGACATTAAGTACACAACCCACGCACCTTAAGCACAAACTCACGCACCTTAAGCGCAAAACCCACACACTTTAAACACCAAACTCACGCACTTTAATCACATAAACCACGCACCTTAAATTTGACCTAGATGTAAAAGTTACCAAATTACCACCGCGTTTACGAAAATACTACCTAATTTTTTTTTGTTAAAAATCAGTGCTTTTGATATGTTAGATCTGGATACGTCAACGGATGTCATGCGTTCTGATTTCTCTCATGGGCACTGATTCACATTAGAGCGTGCCCTTATATATATATATATATATATATATATATATATATATATATATATATATAAACATAATAAGTGTGAATGAAAGTTATACCCTGATTTATGTCCGTTTTTTCCGTTAAGTTTTTTTGTACATTATGCTATAAAGGTTGTACATTAAAATATTTTGGACAAACATACTCCTACCGTTATAACTTCCGTTATCTTTTCCACTATTGTTACCATGCACATGCATCCACCATATATTTTCTTATATTCTTCATTAATAATAATATATACACATTAAATATTTGAGTTATATTTTAATTATTAAATAAATATAAATATCAAATTTATAAAAATAATTTACATTATTATTATTATTATTTAGAATAATTTAAATATCTAAAATCTAAATAAATTTAAAATTTTAATATAATGTATTAATATTGGGCACCTATTTTTTGCGCATCGCGCATAAAAAATACTAGTATTCGAATAAGGGTCAAATATGCCATTGAACTACACTAAAATACAATTAAGTCATTGAATTCAAAAAATATGCAATTGGGTCCCTAAACTAACAAATTTTATGCCATTAAAACTAAAAAAAAAAAAATAGAGAATCAAATTTGAAACAGTTTCAGTCAAACTTACGTTTGTGTTTTTGTTTTTTTTTTTTAAATAATTATTTTTAAAAAATATTTTAAATTTGAGGGTGACCCGTTAGAAACCTGAAATCTAGAAATTGGACTAATGGACTGAAATTGATTGGTTTAAGGACCCAATTGTATGTTTTTGAGTTTAATGATCTAATTGCATTTAGGTGTGTAGTTCGATGACTTATTTGATACTCATTTCTTTTTTTATTTATTTTTTTAAGAAGGTTTCACGTGAGAACATATTCTCATATAAAAATTCAAAGATATACCATCAGTTGACTTTTGAGTTGGTCGTTGAGTGTAGACTGTAGACCTTGATTTCCACCATTAATAATTCATCAGATCAGATCGCTCTCAACTCTCATCCTCGATCTCTGCTATATACTCCATTCATCTCTGCTCGCTTAATAACTCTCATCCCATCTGAGTTTCAATTCAGAAACAGCTGAGATTAGTTCAAGCAAGTTTCCATATTAAACTAAAAGCCGTATAAGTACAGGTCTTCTGATCTGATCTACTCTTGGATCTGTGTCTCCACCCTACATTTCAATTCCTACAAGATCAGATCAGAGAGAGAGAGAGAGAGAGAAGAATGGACGCGGTTATAGAGTTGCTGGTGAACAAAGTAGCAACTTTTGTTGATGAAAACGTGAAGCTGATTTACGGGATCAAGGATCAGGTGGATGAACTGTTAGAGGTACTCAAATCCTTCAACGCATATCTCAAGGAAGCATCCAAGAACAGCAGGGTGGACGAAAACGCAGTACTGGGAGACGTTGTGGAGAAGATTCAGGGAGTTGTAGATGATGCCCAAGATGCGATTGATCAATATGTTATTGACCGCAGGAACCATTTAGCCCAAGGGATTACGAGATACATGAAGAAAGTTCCTTATTTAAAAAAGGTCAATGATTCCGCCAAGCAGATCGATAGAATTAAGCAAAGGGCGCTCACCATCCGTCAAGAACACTTCGCTACCATGGAGAAACTCCAAAACGGTATATCCCACGTCACCAATGTCGTCATTCACCATCAGGTATACTATTAATCTAATTATTTCACTCCGTCTCATTTTATGCTTCACCAAAATTATTTTTAATTTCATTTTTCTTAACTTTTAACTTTATTATTTGTGTGCAGTGTAAAATTTATATATTTAAAAACTACTATTAAACACAAAAACTTAAATAATTTTAAAATATTTAAAGAAAAAAAATAATTTAAATGAGTCCTAGCCTTGAATTAGGATATATAGTATCAATTGTACAATTAGATCTCTAAATTAAAGAATTCTTCAATTAGTTAGTAGTAGTAGCCATGTCATGTGAGTTTTTTTAAGGTTAGTAGTAAAACGTAGTAGTACTAGTAATCTTGGCTTCCATCACCACCTAAGACGAGGCAGCTTTTTGTCTTCATCCCTGCTTGGATGAAGATGAAGTCATATTTGTCTCATCAAGACGAAGGCAATTTGGATCTGGGCGAAAAACATGTCTTTCCTCAAATATAATCTAAACAAATTATGGTGGAAGGCGGAAGCTGGTGGGGGGAGCGAGGTCGCCAATGATAGTATGTAGCCAACCTTATAAAGTGCTAATTACATTTTTATTTATTTTTACAACTTCAAAGGTTTAATAGATTTTCTTTTTATGTTTATAGGCTTAATTGCACTATTGCTATTAATTTAATGACTTATTTAACCATTTTCCCTTACAAGGTTACAGGTTCAAAATACAAATTGCACATGCTTGATGTTGCAATTGCACAAAAGTTTTTTTATTTAAGTACTTAAATTGCACAAACTCAATTAATTCAGTAGCATGTTTGGCTCTTAATTGTTCCTTACTGGGGTGTATATTCAATCATGACTTTTGCAAACTTTTAAAATGGTATATATATTTTTTAATAAATTTTTAGTGACTTTTATAGAGTCATTTTAAACTTTGAAACAGTCTACAAACGTCAATATAAAAAATATTCATAGACTTTTATTAATTTTTATGAACTTATTATTTTAAAAAGTCGTTGAAATTCTAAATTAAATACATCCTTAGAAACTTTCATTGACTTTGATTCTTATTATTTATAATTTTCTTTCAAAAAATTATTATAATATATCAAAAAAAATTCTTTTTCTAGTTCTTCATCCACATCGACATTTTCAACGTTATTATTTTTATCCATAGTACATTGAGACTTTATATGCCAATTACTTATATAGTATTAATAATCACCTACATACAAACAAAACTATTTCATATAAAAATTCATAATATTGAATACTAAAATTTATAGTAACAAAGTTATTCAAATAAAATATTTAAAATTATACTTACAAGTTGCATAAAATAAAATATTTTAAAAATTTAAAAATTAATATTAATAATATATAAAAAATTTTATGGCAGATATACTGCTGCAGTATAAGCAAAATAGCTATTATTCACAAGAGCTATTTGGGTTGTGAACATCAGTCCAATGTTAAAAGATGAAAAAACAAAAACAAAGTCTATTAGAAATATAAACATAAAAAGAATAATAATCAAAATATACAAGTATTATGAAGCATATAGTAAAATATGACTAAAATAGATTAAAAAAAATTTGATTTGATTTATGTATTTAGATTGAAAAAAAGTCTGTAGAGATCGTAATTTTAGAAGTTAGGAATAAAAAGTTTGTAGAAAGAATAAAAATCAAAATATACAAATATTTTTACCAATATTTTGAAACATATAGTACAAATTAACCGCGATAGATGAAAACTTTGCTTTGTTCAAGTGTATTTGAGAGAAAAAGTTCATAGAGAGAGTTTTTAAGTTAGAGAGAAAAATGCATAGGAAAGTTTAGAAGTTTGGGGTTTGAAAGATGGATTTTAACTATTTATATTAGAAAGAAAAAGTCTACACAAATCCTAGTTTAACCGGCTATGTAAAAGTCAATATAACTTTTTGAATACCAATAGACTCTTAAATACTTTCTAAAATTTTGGATTAATAAGTACCTATAAACTTAAGATTCTTTAAAAGACTAAATCCAATACAAATATACTTTTAAAGACTCTTTCTAGATCTATCTTAAATACCATCATGTTTTTAATGTCTTTAAAAATTTTGTAGAAGTACATAAAATCCAGATTGAATACACCCCTGGGGTTAAATCTTTGAAGTATATCAATGAATTGAAAGTTGAGTTTTAGTGGAGTGATTAGTTTGTGAGTGAGTATCATTACACTAGATATCGTTCGGAGGAATGGTCATGAACGGATTGAATAGTAAGTGGTTAATCACGAGAGTGTCTAGTGTTTGGAAACTAGTTCAAAGATTGAGTTACAAAGCATTCAAGAATAACTATGTATAATATAATGTTGTTGAGATTAACAAGAACAAGAAAAAAAATAATGGCTGAAAGTAAAGAAGACAAGATTTACGTGGTTCGGCAATGTGCCTACATCCACGTGAGTGAAAGTATTCTTATTCATAGTTATGGTGATAGTGGTGACGCAACCCCTTAGGGATACAACCAATATATTTATAGGCATCCAATCCCTGTACAAAGGGTCTACCTGTTTCACTCCTACTCCTAGTATGAGACAAACTCATATTCCTAATCCATATATGAGACAAACTCAACAATCTCCACATTGGCAAATATGCTCTTTAGGAGAAAAGATAACTCAACAAATCTCCACCTTGATGAATATGCTCTTTAGGAGAAAAGACTTATCTCACCATCTCCACCTTCACATATATGCCCTTTAGGAGAAAAGACTATCTCCAACTTTGCGAATATGCTCTTTAGGAGAAAAAGATAACTCAATAAATCTCCACATTGGCAAATATGTCCTTTAGGAGAAAAGACTTATCTCACCATCTCCACCTTCACAATTATGCCCCTTAGGAGAAAAAAATCTTATCTCACATATACACATGGGTAGGAACAACCATGCTCATCCAACTAGCCAGCCACACGCATACGCAGCATCAAACGTTACCCAGTGCATGTACACGAACCGCTTCGTCCCAAGCCATTCGCCCTCAGCCGTCGACTTGTTATACAAACCGCGACTCATGTTAATTGTCCGTTCAACTGACCTCCTGCATCTGGCCCATACCAGGTCCATATCCCTCCTGGTATCCACGCTTCCCAACACAACAGCGCCCCTGCAAAGTCACACTAAACTCATGTGTCTTGCCCAATGCTCCACTAATCAGCAATTGCCACTGGTCAGCAACACGCACCACGCAGCATCAAACGTTCCTAGTGCATGTTCATGAACCGCTTCATCCTGAAGCGTCCGTCCATACCAGTCGTGACTTATACCAAGCCCCGGCCCATACCAGCCGTGACTCATGACAAGCCCGACCCATACCAGGTCCGCGACCCCTCCTGGTATTTGCGTTGCCCAACACTACAGTGCCCCTCACCACCTTCTCATCTAGCATTTAGAATCGCCCAACAAGTCCTAACAATATTCGAACTTGTTACTAGTTACCGCTAGAACATCACCTTCACTATAATAAGAGTCATCAGCTTGAACAACGTTCATAGCTTCTTGGTTCTTCAACTCCTCCCAATCAGCCTCTTCCAGATTAGTTGATTTTCCTGCCTTCAAGGTTTTTAGAAGGCCCTGGTATACCAACAAATCATTTACCTTAGACTGCCATAACCCAAAATTCCCTGTTTCATCAAACTTTGATACCTCAAGTTTTGTACTTGAACTATTGATACCTCAAATTTTGTACTTGAACTAGCCCTCTCAACAGTGCTCTGATACCAATTTGTTGAGATTAACAAGAACAATAAATAATAATAATGGCAGTAAAGGGTAAAGAAGACAACAAATCATTTACCCTATGCCTACATCCACGGGAGTGAAACAATGCTCTTATTATTTGTGATGGTGATTGTGGTGACACAACCCCTTAGGATACAACCAATATATTTATAGGCATCAAATCCCTGTACAAAGGGTCTACCCGTTTCACTCCTACTCCTAGTATGAGATAAACTCATATTCCTAATTCATATATGAGACAAACTCAACACATGCAAAATAGCAAAACAAATAACAAAAGCAATTGACAAGGAATAGGTGAAAGTAGGGGCTTGGATTAAATCACTCTTGCCTAGATGCTATAGAGTTTTCCTAGGCTAGGACCATGTGATAAATTAACATGGACCAAGGAAGATGCTACTCAATGCCAAAGTCATTCTCATCGTCATTGGACTTCCAATTGAGATTAAATCCCATTCTCATAGTGATTAATTCAATTGGTACATTTTATCAAACATATATATAGTGTTTACATCTTTTTCCAACCTTCTTTTCTCAAAATGGAGTTGGAATTGTGAGTGATGTGGCTATAGTGTTGTCCCATTCTCATGGTAACAACACATCTCCATGAGCTTCTTGTATAATTGAACCCTAATTATACAAGAGTATATATAAATCACCAAACTCACGAGAAGAATCCTAGTTAAGGCATCATCTCATCCCCAATTGCAATTTAATTCACTCAAGCATCCATACAAGAGAGCTCAATCCAAATCCCTAAATGAATATAGCTACTCATACATTGAATTGAAACACAAACATGAATTGAAATGGAAGCCATTATATTTCAAAAACAATTGAGTTGGAGAAAATGTAAAGTAAAGAAGACTAGCTTAGCTTTAATCAAGAGAAATTGGAAATGCAACATTGAAATTGAAAGTAAAGTTGAATTACAAGTTGGAAACAGCTTCAAATCTTCATCAAATGTAGATCAATTATAACGAGAAATGTTGCGGAGAAGTTTCTCTCTAAGGAAAATAGGAGAGAGTAGAAAAATGGATATATAGTTATATGAAAATAACCGCCTAGGCACATTTATACCACAAAATTCGCATAAAATTGAACAATTGATCTTTTCTTTCTGGATGAGTGCTCATGGTCTACTCACACCTGTGAGTTCCACCATGAGCTTTAAGCATAGCTTGTAGGTTCCAAAGATCACGGTGGGCCTCACGCCTGTTAGGTTGGACATGACCATTTACTTTGTTCAATAGTTCTAGTTTCAAAGTCATTTTTCACCTTGTCGATGTTCAAATTAGACTTTGTGGTTTGCATAGAAGTTGTATCTTTTTCAATTATCTTTCTAGTGCCTTTTGAATCACTTGTTTTGGACATTCCTGCGCTGAGATATTGCTAAAATATCGTTGCATGATCGAGAAAACAAAGTAGAATTTTCACATTGACACTCACGACAGCGAGAGCCTGCTCTTTTTCTTTTTCTTTAACCTCTCAAGACTCCTGAAACACACCTTAATGCCAATATGCATGACTTTAAAACACATCCAATCGAGATCCAATTTACATGATCTCACAATCAATGCCTCCAGATGTCACAAAGAGATCAAATAAACACATAAATTAGCTTCCAGTTAACATAAAATCATATGAGTTAGATGTCAAATATACACATAAAATTAGTAAAAATTAGCTCTTATCTAAGTTGCTAACCTCATTTTCTTGAAATTGTTAAAGCCTGTGGTAGAGGAGGAAGATGTGGTAGGCTTCGATGGCGAGGCTCAAACTATAAAGGACCGTCTCAATGAAGATTCAAACGACTTGGCTTTCATCTCAATTGTAGGGATGGCAGGTTTGGGCAAAACCACATTGACTAAAAAGGTGTTTAGTGACAGTGAAATTCAATACAAATTTTTTACTCGTCTTTGGGTTTATGTATCCCAAAACATAGACCGGAAGCAAATATTCTTGAACATTCTAAGTAATTTCACGAAGGAAATTGACTGTTTTAAGTGCATAGCGGATGACCAACTTGCAGACAGAATCAAGACATATTTGGAGGGTGGGAAGTACTTGATTGTGATGGATGATGTATGGGAAATGAGTCACTTCAAACTTTTGAAAATTGCTTTTCCTAACAACCGGAAAGGCAGTAGAGTGCTGGTAACAACACGTGAACAAGAAGTGGCTAAACATGCTGATTCAATAGGCAAACCACACAAATTAAAATTTTTATCAGATGATGAAAGCTGGGAGTTACTACAAAAGAAAGTTTTTCGCAAAGAACTGTGCCCCCCAAACCTTGAAACCTATGGGAGAAGTATAGCAAAGAAATGCAATGGGCTACCACTGGCAGTGGTGGTCATTGCTGGTGTCCTTAATGTGGATAGTACACCTAGAGATTGGATAAAGGTGGATAATGATCCGTTCCCAGTAATCAATCAGAAGAACCAAGACTACAACGAGCTGGTAAAACTGAGTTACAATAAGTTGGATTTCCACAAAAAAAAATGCTTCTTATACCTTGCAGTGTTTCCAATCGGGCATGAGATTTGTGCTTGGAAATTGATTCGGCTGTGGATCGCAGAAGGGTTTATTCCTCCAGTGGAGGTAGAGGCCACAGCTGAAGCATATTTGAAGGATATTGTGAATAGGAATCTGTTGATGGTGTCGAAGAAAAGAGCTGATGGGGAGATCAAAACATGTCGCCTCCATGACACCATGCATATGTTCTGCAAATTAGAAGCTATGAACAAGAAGCTCTTCTAGGAGATAGATGGGGCGAAACTAGACAAAATTATTAATGATGGATATCGTCGCTTGTGTATCCATTCCTCCGTCTTGAACTTTATATCTTCAGAGAATCAGGTATCTGGCGACCATATTCGCTCTTTCTTGACATCATCCCCCAAACTAGAGATTCCCAAAGAACACTTGGGAAAAATCCCAAAAGCCTATCCACTTCTCAGTGTTTTTGATGCTGAGGCCCTCAAATTTGAAATATTGCCCAATGAGCTTTATATGCTATATCATCTACGCTTCCTAGCTGTCACAACTGACCTCAGTGTCCTTCCAAAATTATTCACTGATCTATGGAACATGCAAACTCTTATATTCAATACTACCAAGAGTGTTGTTCAAGTTAATGCTGATATATGGAGCATGCCAAAACTAAGGCATATCATGGTCAATGCATCTTTGGAATTTTCTCCTCCTCCCAAAAAGGGTAAAGACAAGTCATCGTCAGCGTCATCTTCTCGGGCAGACTTACAAACTCTTTCCACCATATCACCCAATAGCTGCACTGAAGATATCTTTGCCAAGACGCCCAACCTTTTGAAACTGGGCGTTCGTGGGAATTTAGCAGAGCTTCTAGAGAGCAGTGGAGGCATTTGTTTGTTTGACAATATTCACAAGCTGCATAATCTGGATAGTCTGAAGCTTTTGCATGAATCCGCCAACAATCAGGGCAGCATGCTGTGGACCTTTCCTCGACCTGAAAAATTCCCGCGCAAGCTAAGGAAGCTGACTTTACACAAAACATCCTTTGGTTGGAAAGACATCTCCATTTTGGCATCCCTCGACAAGCTAGAGGTGCTCAAGTTGGATGAATTTGCAGTGAATGGGGACACTTGGGCACTTAACAACGATGCTGTTTTCAACAATCTCCAGTTCCTGCGGATTGGGAGAACCGATTTAGCCACCTGGACTTGTGGGAAGGATAGCTTTCCAGTATTGAAATCCCTTTACCTCTTGCATTGTGAATTCCTTAATGCACTCCCACTTTCCTTGAAGGATGTGAAAACCCTCAAGCTTCTGGATTTGTTTCATACCAACAAGAAGGCTGCTCCTTCTGCAAAGGAAATACGAGACCATAAACCTAAAGGGTTTGAGCTTACTATTTATCCTCCTATTCACTGATTTATTTCAACTCCGGCCATCTTTTGCTTTGCAATAAAAGGTCCAGGCTGGCCAAATTAAAAGGTCAGTTATTTAATTACTTTGCTATTTATACCCTTCTCGATCAAAAGTTTTATCATCATCATCATCATCATTGGTTGGTGCAGGAGGGAGAATCAAATAACAGTTTCAAATCGATATATATATATATATATATATATATGGCTCTGATCTTCCAATGCAACTTCTCTTATCACTATGTTTGCGACACTTTCTTTGTTCTTGTTTTCTTTTAATTTGTTTTTGCAATAAAGGCTGGCATGTACGGCACTTCTGTACGGTTTCATATGTTGAGCTCAAGCTTAGCTTGAGTGCTGTGTTTAATTCTGAGTTTCTGTGTGAACTTGTTCATGTTTAAACATTTGTATAAATGACTATCTATCTAAACTTTTCTAGATTACATTTGGTCATATATACCTTCGGTTTTCATTTGAATTGTTTGCAGTCACTCCACTAATAGGTTTAGTTGGAAGGAGGAAATTAAGGGAGGAAAAGAATCAAAATTACTGCTTGGGAAAAGAATACACTAAGAATGGTTAGGTAGGCATGAATAAAATTGGTGGTAATTGTAAAGGAGGAGTGAATAAAGATTAAAATGCTCTTGTATAATAATAATAATAATAATAATAATAATGGCAAAAATCGTAATTTCTTGTGGAATTACAATTCCACTGGCTGTGGAAGAGTAATTCAAGGTGATCTTAAGAATTGCAATTTCCTCCAACCAAATCATGAAATATAAATTTCATGAAATTTAGTAGGAATGAAATTACCTTTCCATTCCCCTCCACTGGCAGAGAACAAAAATTAAAATTCCATCATACCAAACAACCCCTTGTTGGATAGAAAGAAAAAGTTTTCCTTAAATTTGAAGGAAATTGAGATTTCCATCTATTTAGTTCATAAAAAAAAATTTCACAACCGTTAGCTGATTGGGTTAGTGGGTTTGATTAGTTGTTAGCTGATAGTTGTTCAGATATTGAAGATCTTTTTTTTGGAATGACGATGTTTCCCGCAAAATATAAAATCTGGCAACATTTCACCGTCAATTTGGACGGAAGGATCAAAATTGATAAAAATAACAAAGTTAAGCACCAAAATTGAAAAATTTTAAATTTGTGCACCAAAAATGAAAAGATCTCAAAAGTCGTGGAACTCAAAGTGAAATTAATTCTTATTTGATAGTATACAAAAGAATGTACTTTCAGTACTTAAATAATTTACTTTCAAATAATGTAATTTGTGAATATTAAAAACTTGTGCCTTACTCATGTTATGCATGGAAACAATTATGATACATGAATTAAGGGAGAAATTAAAAAAAAAAATGAAAAATCATTGTAGAAGTGCATCAAAAAAAAATTTATACTATTATTAAAAACAAAATCTTTCTTAGTGTTTTCGCGCCCAAACTCTTCCACCTAAACAATTAATAATTAATTAATTCCGCCCAAACTCTTCCACCCAAACAATTAATAATTAATTAATTAATTAAAGAATGATGATGATGATGGAAAAATACAAAAACTATCTATAATTTACTTATAATGTTAGGAGTAGAAAAATGAAAAATGGAAAATGATACTAATTCACTTAATCTATACTATTATTAAAAACAAAAGTCAGTATCTGTTCATATACTTTCTCAACCTACTGAAACACAAAGAGCCAATAACGCCTCCGAAACTCAAAGAGCCAATACTAACGACAACAACAACAACAATAATAATAATAATAGTAATAAAATGGAAAAATACAAAAAGGATCTATAGTATAAGTAAATTGGAAAACGTATCTGTTAGGCCAATTGAAAAAGGAAATGAATTGAATATTAATAATTATTTGAAAATTAAAAATGATCCCTATTTAACTATTTCGAAAAGGAAACGGATTAACTATAGTATAGGTAAATTGGAAAAAGTATTTGTTATTAATAATGCACTAGAAATATTAAAAATAAATATGTTATTAATAATTAACTATATATTTTTTTTTAAAACAACCAATGCGACATTTATTCAAAATAAGCTGAAATAGAGTCAGGTGGGGCATAGTCCCAATACATAGTAGTAGCCTGATTAAATGTTGTAGAAAATAAAGAATGAGCTAAATAATTGTTCGATCTACGAATAAACTTAATTAAACAGTAATCGAAAGAGGATATGCAAGATTTGCAGCTATCAATAGCATAGCCGATATACGAACGAAGTGGAACAGTTGCGGACGATAGATACTGCTGAAGTGTTAAACAATCCGTGAGTAGCTTTATAGATCGTTCTCCACGATCCCTTAACCATGACAAGACTTCTTTGCATGCGAATGCCTCAGCCATAAGTGGAGAGAAACTATAACACCCCCTATTTCTAAAATCTAAAACCCGATATAAAACAAGTTTAGTTAAGATAAAATGAGGAATAACTTAAGTAACTAATATAATTATCCAAAACGATAAACTAAGGGAATGTCACAGCCACAGTCACCACACATGGTAACTGCACAGGCTACAAAAACAACTATGGAACTAGAGTCAAGCTCATCAAAAACAGTAAAACATGGTGTAACACCCCTAAATTCTGAGATATTTAAAACTTGTAAAACAAAGACAAATCCATTGATTGAATCCCAAACAGAACATAAAGCTAACCATAAGTGTCGGGGTGCTATGCCACACCTAGGTTTGAGAACCTAGGTGCACATGCTAAGCTATCTAAGCATAATGAATCCTTAATTCAATATTTAAATACAACCCCAAGGCACGCAGGCCTACTACTGAGCTAAGGCTAACTAAGCTAAGTCCCGGGCTCTAACTAGCGCGCTTCGAAGCTAATGCTCATTACCTGAAAAACATTCGGTATAACAATCGTCAGCGAATAATGCTGGTAACCCACTCCAACGCGTTAAGTACAATATAAGTAGATATAAGAAACTCATTTTGAAACTGGATACATATATACTTACGAGACTCTAGTTTAAATCCAAGATCAAGATATAAGAACTAATAGGCATCCTAAGCATGCAATACAAGACATGACAGGCAGATATGCATACAAATAACATAGTAGAGGCAACGAAGGCAATCATTACAATCAATTAGCAAGTAGTCAGCAAAGCACACAAATCATCCTCCAACCTTATACCAAGTTCCAACCTTGTAGCTCCCCCCCGTCCTTATATCAGTTCCAACCAATACCTCCAGGCCACCCTTATATCCCCACCCCTTATGCCTCCGGGCAACTACATGCCCCCACCGAAAAACCACCTTTCAACCACCAACATATCAAGATGGTGCCGCAGTGCCATTCAATAATCCGCACCTCTAGTGCCAATATCAAGGGGTTAATGCATAAAGGTCTAACATGACACCGCAACACTAACCTGACCCATGCTCAATGGCAAGCAAGTCTAAGATGGGTGTGTGCTTTTAGCACAGTCACCGCTATGGCCTGTACCTTTAATACAATAACCGGGCACAAGTGGTGCCAACCGCAAATAATTTATTTTCCACCAATCACAATCTCATCATCATCATCAGTCACACTGGCCATTGCGTAATGACCATAATATTCATCACCATTCCATCAATCAACACATAATCACATAACAATCAAGACACAACAACAACGACACGTATTACACATAAAATCCTAGAACAATGCCTAAAACACCAAACGAGACTCATACACGACAAACGGGGTACAACGGGACATGGAGAAACAACAAATGGGGGAAAACATCACGAACCTCGACCGGTTTCCAGCGGGTAGGTGGCGGGTGGAGGACCACCCGCCAGCCACCCGCCGGCAGCCTCACGCTATTCCAGCGGGTGGCCGGCGGGCAGACCACCGCCCTCCAGCTGCCCGCTGGGACAGTGACACAGGCAGCAGGTAGGTGGCGGGTAATCAGTCCCCCCACCTACCCCCCACTGATACACATGCAACTTTTGGTCCTGGGATCTCTCGTGGAACCCGAAACCATGTCCAAACACATTCAAACACATAATGACAACACCACATATTCAATTAACAGAGTTAAACCAAGAATCACACCAAATACATCTTAACACGATTCCTAAACATACCAGGACCCAACATAAATCATATAACGGTTCAGGAACATCCGGAGCCACAAATCTATAATACAAGATTCACGACATATATACCAAGTCCTAGGCTAGACTCAACACCCGATCATGCATAATCCCACCCAAATATACCAAGAACATCATAATACAAGATTCACGACATAAACCTAGGGCTCTAGACATAATCAAAATGCAAGATCATTCATATAATCAATCATAGTATCAAGAACATCAAGATTATCATATGAACATCAAGATTATCACATAAACATCAAGATTATCACATAAACACAATATAAACCCTAGGCAAAGCTCTATCAAGACTCAAACACAGAATCATATATCAAAGGAGCCAATGAATAAGATATAGCAAGGAAAATAGGTTTTGTCGAGACATGGGTTACCTCTTAGCCTTAATTAATCCTTCCTTGGCTATTAAGGTTCTTCTCTAAGATTTCCCTCCGGTTGATCTCCCTAGACTTGGTGGTGGGGAATCTCATGGGAATAATTTCGTGAACTATAACTATGGGTGGTAAGGGTTCTAATTGCTTGCTAATCCCCTATTTATAGAACCAGGAATTCTAATTAGAATCTGAATAGTGAAGACCTACATTCTATTCCTAACAGGTAATAGGTCCAGGGGTCCTAATTAGGGTCTGAGTAGTGGAAGGCACACTCTCTTTATTCCTAATAGGCTTAGGACTCTAGTTTAGGCAAGGGTCCACGATCCATGGTGGACCACATTAATTAATTAAAGGGAATTCTAATCAAATTAAATCCCTTTCTAATTATTATTAATGGAATTAATTAAACAATTAATCTGGAATTAAAGGCCGTAACACGGGTGTTACACATGGGACACAACCCCGGTGTCTATGCACCATCAAAAGGGTAGTTTACTACAACCAATTAAAAATACTACTAAACAAAAGGGTATTGGTCTAGTAACTACTACAACTAGAACTACGCACTCAACTATCACGTGTGCTCTCAAGAACTGGGTCCACTTGAATGGGGTTATAAAACAAGTAGGAAAATAAACCCGTTAGCAAATTAATGCTAAGTATAAAGCCACTCAACCCTGTAAAGTACTATAGATATAGGTTGAAAAACATTTTGCATTCACACAATCTCAAGTATGAATATAAACAGTTACAACACTTAGTCATAGATCTCAATAAATATACTTAAACACATATATATGCTCGCAACCTAGAACTCATATAAACATGCTTTAACTCATAACTCATACTTCAATACATTCACATTCTATAAACAGATATAAACCAATTATAGTCTATATACACTACTCACAAACATGCTG